ATCACATTACACATGTATACACGGTTCGTTCATATGAAAGTGCAAGCGACGAAAAGAGAAAACGAATCTCAGAATTTATTTTAGTTCGTTTTTCTTTTCTGCAAAGAATATAATTTATTATGTACAGTTTTCTACATATAGAGTGGTGCACAACAATGAAATCAGGAAAAAAAGAGAAAGAAACATGCTTAGAATAGAAAAACAACATAGCTTATAAGAAGATATCTCGGTGTTTGTGCGCACAAAACGATGGCGCAAAAGAATGAATTCCTGCGCACAAAAGCATGTATACAAACATATAAGCACGCATTATAAGTGCCTGCACAGGAGGATACATCACCAACAATACAACACATAAATAAAATACTTATAGCTCGCATGTGGTAAGAGTAAATAAGAGACAAAAATCGCCTGAACAGAGTACAGTGAAACCATTCTCTATGGAATCCGTTCTTTTCTTGTACGTTTCGATTTTATTCGGAATATTTCATTCAGTATCTGGATCCGCTTGCCATTTCTTTACTGTAATTTTTCATTACTCTACTGTGTTCTATATAGAACCTTATGAGCTGTTGCTAAGCAAAAAAAAAAACATACGCAAAAACTGTTTTTCGAAGGTGTTTCATACGTACTTTATGTGTTTAGAAGATCATCTGATTCTGTGCAATGTAAAAAGCAGACATCGATGCATCGCACCGATAACTGCCTGATGCTTAAGATGATGACGAATGAAGTGGGTGAGGGAGAAGCCTGCTGCATATTTTGCATCACTTTATCGATTCTTTGAATTTGCTTTTTTCTTTGCGTATTGGCTAAAAGTAATCATGTTTTTTGAAATACTTGGAAACTGTGTTCAATGTACGCCATAAACAGGTATATAAAATGTCGGTGCAGATTTTCAATATTTTTTTTCAGTTTGTAATGTCACATTTATTTCTTTGTTGATAATCGGCATTTTGATGACAAAAGCTGCATACTAGAACACATCAAAAGATCTAAAAGATCTTTAGAAAAGAAGAGAGAGAGAGAGAGAGAGAGAGAGAGAGAGATTTGATCAAACGACACCAATTCTATGGCATATGCCCGAACTGATTTGACAAGGTGCTCTGTTGATTTAGATGGCATGTTAATCAGCAAGTGCATCTGCTGCCAACAATAGCATGTATTGTTCTTGCAAAAAGTGTACCATTTATGCAATTCGATTCATCAAATAACTGTTTTTTGAGAATCTCGCCCCTTCTGCTAACTTAAGACTTCTTTTGTAAATGTGTATTTTGAAACGATGCCAAATAACATAAAACAATTTGCAATTGTTGTATAACAGCACATTTTTTAATAAAGCAATATTTCGTATGTATCGACGGCGCTAGTGAATTTCCTTTTGTGTAAAAAACTAAAAAAAGTCATTAATAGTTTTTTTGCTATTTCAATCCATTATGTTCATGGACATAACTTGATGCTTTTTATGTCAAACTCCGCGAAAAAAATTGGTGAGTATAATTTCCTTAAGTTCAACAAAAGATTACAAAATTAGATCGGATCGGCGAGTACAATGAATGGAAAAAAGATGGTGTACGACCGCGTCTACTTTTATTTTCCATCAACTTTTCAAATGACTTATATGGCTATAATTAGCAAAATCATGACGCTGCTGTGCACGGTATGCTCGGTTAAACGTAAACACAAAACAAAAGATCGCTGCTCGGTCATAAGTAATTTTGAAAGTTTCAATTATGTCCGGATTCAAATGGTCATCATGAATTATTATTGTTGACTGTTTTCATTGGGTTGGTTGGCAAAAATGTTGCCATCTATTTCTATTTAACACGCTAACAAGATGAACTTTTAAGAGCGCGCACATCATTTCAAATATGCGCATCGAGTTCGGTCGACATTAAAATCGATTGGCTGGAGCGCATTCGATATGCGCGCTGCCGACTATTTGCGCATAAACTAGCCAATAAATTATAACTGTGTCATATTTCTTTGAGTCAGTTAAAGAAAAAGTTCAACCAAGTCGTTTTTACTCTCCATTCAATTGCATAACAAGTTGAGAGAGTCGTCCAGTATGTGTGCGCACTACAAAAATCCATCGTGTGCAAAAACTCGATGCTTTTAAAATAATTGACCTGACGCAACATTCTGTATGTGCCTGAGAGTCCAATGATAAAAATGAAAAACATGCATGAGACGCGGCACGGGTTTACTATTAGTTTTGCATCGGTCATGGACTCTATCGTTCGAATCATCCATCTGCATTCGGATTTGTTCACATGTTACACCGAGCAACGAGACCTTTTCAATGAAGAGCGATTTGCATTCAAACTAACTCAATGCGACTAGTTCCCTTTTTTTGCGCTGTTGTTGCTTTTGCTTTTGTTTCTAACTTATTAAGACAACAACAAAACATATTACGACAACAACAGCGCGTACAAAAAACAAAGAAAAATGCGCATTCAATGATACGCGATGAAGAATAGCTCGGTAATCAAATGCGAAAACGATAAAAATGGCATTTTTTATCAATAAATACGATATTATGCTATCATTGGATTTTGCTTAATGTGCAATTTCTTGAAAACCGGTGAATAATAGGATTCGAATCAACTTAGATAAAAGCGCAACAAAATGCAACTTAGAGAATAACCAGAATGCCACATACAATTTGAATTAGCATTCTTTCTATTGATTTCTGGGTGGTAACATGCATTTTAATGTTTTAATATAAATGTGAATTGTCGTTTTGAATAATGTTTTTCAAAAAAACGAAGAAAAATTGAGATACGCTAGATCTGCGTGCACCAAGCATATTCATTTTTGTTTTATCCGTGTACCGATACATGTAAACATTGGTTGTTAAATGATCACGTGCCGGCAAAAGATTCTTCCCATAAAACCAAGTGAAGACGAAAAATATTTCTCGCGAAGAATGAAACTACACGGTACTCGTAATATCATAAGTTATAGACGAGGAACCAATTTAGCATTAATGAAATGACGATTTATTTGCTTCATGTTTTTTTCTTCTCAATAAAATCACTGTTGGACAAACTTATTGATATCCAACTTGTATCGATTTGTTCAAATAACGTCATACAATTTACATTTTTCATCAACAAGAAAAATCGTATGCAAAGTGTATAAGTATAAAAAAAAATCGATTCGGTAGTCAATTGAAAGCGAAAATTTGCCATATTCCCAACGTGTATTACAACGAGTGATTTATGAAATTCCAAATAGTTTTTGTTCTGTTGTCCCAAATGATTTATGAAAAAGAAGCTCCAAAAGTGCGCAGTTTATATTTAAATTCCGTAATAAACGAATCGAAAACAAAGTCGTATGATACGCTTTCGATTTTCTATTCAATAAAAACAAAGTGTTTCTTTTTCTCTTTTATTTACGTCTTACAACGTATTTCGTGAAGTTCTCGGAAGAAGTTTGACTAGTTAGATAGAAATATACGTCATAAGTAACAAAATGATGTATATTTCGTCCTCTGAATTCCCATAACAGCTACCTTGAGACAAAAAAAAAACATAACAAGCGATGAAGAGTATCTGGAAAATCAACATGAGATTGTATTTCAAACAATGATTGTGCAATGGAAAAAAATGAGTGCGGATATTAGGTTGTTTCTCTCTAATTTCTCAGCACGATGCATCTGGCCGTATGCACGTCTTGATTCTAGTGTTAACACGTATTGCATATGCTATAATTAAACGTCAAAATATAGGCTATAATTTTTTTTGGGATACAAAAAGGGTGATTATTAAATTCCACGCGTTTGAACGTCGTTCTTATTAGTATGCAGCAATAAAATATGAATATCACTTCCGCTTCAGCGAAAATCGAAAAAAATCATCGAATAATAAATCATTTCGGAAATTCGATCGTCAAGAATATAATTTGAACGATAAGAAATCCCTTAGCTCAACATTTTTTCAATGACTTAAATCACCGAATAAAGAACGGTTTCTCGTCTGCAATCTATAAATTGAATCTACCACTTAATTTATCTCGACGAACATTGGTTCATTTTGGATGCTCGGCGCAGTAGCTAGTCATATCACATGAAAATGTACGAACGACTCCCATAAATGCACTCGACCGTATCTATACATTGCATCGCCGCATTATTTGGCTTTGTGTGTAAAAACAAAAAAATGAACGAAACAAAAAAATTGAGAGAGTCACATCGTCACCAGAAACAGCAGCAACAGCGAAACAATACCATTTCCATATTGTGTGTGATCTATCTCGATTCGGTTTTGTCATCGCCGTCAACAACACCGAGAGCGAGATGTGCTATACAACGTTCTGAATATGATTTGAACATTTATATCAACATTTGATTTGATTGTGTGCGTTTCAAATTCGATTTGTACAATTACACCATGCTTGTGTATATGTGTGTTAAATCACACCTGTTTTCCCCTCTTTTTTCTCGGTTTTACATTGCACTCGTATATTCAATCGTAGCAACACCACAACGCTTCGCTTCGAATGCACGTGTATCGTATGGTTTAGCCGGTTTCAATGTTTGTGTTTTCCCCCTGCTTCGTATTTGTATTAGGAGTGTTTGGCCGTGTGCATGCATGTATGTAGTATTCCAAGCCTTTTTTCTATACGATCTGGTGGGATTCTTATTCAGCGAACCAAATAGAAAACAACGAAACGAAACGAAAAGAGGAGAAATCGAGATCTCATCGCTGTATGTTGATTCCATTTGGCTTGGCTATTGGTTCGATGGCACGTGCTGGTTCAAAACGTACTACAAACTATAAAATAGTAGGGATGAGTGTTTCGGTGAAGCGTATCGTTGTGTGTGAGTCGCTTTCGTCGAGTATACAATAGCAGGTTCTCACTGGGAATCGATCATTCAAGTTTCAAGTCTTGAGCAGAGAGCATCTTTCGTTTTGTTGTTTTTATTTCATAACACAATTCGTTTTAACATATATATTTTTTATATTACAATTTGAAACACATTTATTATTGTACGACACTTATCAACTGTTCAGTTTAATGCAGTATTTAATATAAATTAAATTGAAGTGAATCGATAAAAATAGACAATTCAAATAAATACGAAAAAAAAAAAATTTAACTAAAAAAAGTATATTGTGAGTTAAAGTTAAAAACAAAACAAAAAGAATAATAAGTTTTCATAATGCTAACCGCAGAAAAAAATTATAGTAATTGCCCATTAAAAAAGCGACCATTTTTAATGATGGAAAAAGAATTAAAAGATTCACGGTCACACGTTGAACAAAATGAACCGGAAGATCTGTCTGTGAATAGTAAACGTCGTCGTTCAAACAGTCCACCAGCGACACCGGTCAGTGAAAAACGTTGTTCATCGGTTGAATCAATGATCGAAATTGAAGATGATGTCGATGAAAAACCAGTCTCATTCAAAATTGGCACCATCAAAGTGGAAAAATCAAAGAGTTTAAACGACATCAAACAGGAGCCCATTTCAAAAGAACTAATTTACAAAAATTGGCCATGCCCATTGACACCGCCAATGCATTACACCGGAGCCGATAGTTTGGATTCACTCTATCTATCAACATACACAGCAGCACGGTATGAATCACATTTTGGCTATGGAAAAGATGATAACCTATTCAAAGCCCAAACATTGCCACCATATCCATCGCCATACCTAATTCCATCGATGGATCTTCGAACCAATTACAATAACAACATTATCAAAGCCGATCCGTTCATCAATCCAAAATATTTCACACCATATCGTGTTGATCACAATAGCAGCCGTAATAGCAGTACTACGCCACATCGACCACTATTCAATGTATTCCCATTGTCACCGGCAAGTAGTCAAGCCTCTTATAATTCATACGAACAATCGCCGAGAAGGTCTGAATCGCCAATGTCAACAAATTCATCGATCTCTGAACAGCCATCGACAACAACAACAACCCCGGCAACCTATTCCGTATTCCGTGATGTAACGGCAATGAGCACTGGTGCTCCCGTTGAAAAATCAACATCAAAATCAAAACCGGAAAAAGTCACAAAAAATGCCCATTATCAATGTTCCGATTGTTCAAAATCGTATTCCACATACTCCGGTTTATCGAAACATCAGCAATTCCATTGTCCGGCCGTTGAAGGGAATCAAGCGAAAAAAGTGTTCAGTTGCAAGAATTGTGATAAGGTTTATACATCGTTGGGCGCACTTAAAATGCACATTCGCACGCATACGTTACCCTGTAAATGTGAAATTTGCGGCAAAGCATTCTCACGACCATGGCTGTTGCAAGGACACATTCGTACCCATACTGGTGAAAAGCCCTTCAGTTGCCAACATTGTCATCGAGCCTTTGCCGATCGTTCCAATTTACGTGCACATCTTCAAACACACTCCGAAATTAAAAAGTATAGTTGCACCACATGCAGTAAAACGTTTTCAAGAATGTCACTGCTAACCAAACACATCGAAGTTGGTTGTCCCGGCATTCAAATGTCACACAATTTGAATTTATTTTAAAACAAATAGTACATCACATTGTAAATTCCCTTGAAAAAGACTGAACAAGTTGCACACTTATATATATATCGATGATTATGCGGTAAGCTAATCGATTGAATAATTCCAATTGGAGCGAAGATGATGAGAAAGAAAAACCATGTATTAAAAGAAGATGAAAAAAAACCTTACTTGCAGCCAGTTGTTAAAAACTTGCGATTAATAAGAGTCTAGTCATAGCTTTTACAAGAGAACCATTTATTTGTAATTTGTAGATTGAAAATCACTTGAAAGCCATAAAAAAAAAACAAATTTAATTTATAAGATTCGAAAAATACACAATTTAATGAAATCTACAGTGCCTTGATTCGTACAAAATAATGGACAAAAATTTACATACAAGTAACACTTTAAGATAAATCCGCAGCACACATTTGTATTTTTGGAGTTACGTTTACAATTGTAAAGAAAAACGATAGGATATAAGAAAATGAGCGAGTGTAATTTTTTAGTAGATTTAATCGAGTACTTTTATTGAATAAAACAAAAATATTTCGTAAAAAAATTTTTTACACCAATGGAAAACTGATGTCTTTTTTTTATTTATAACTTGACTAACAGTTTACAGATTTATTCAGATTTTTCCAGGATTCTTTTGAATATTTGCTATTTATTAGCTCTTCTCTTTTTTGTCTTGTCGAGTCACTTAAAGCGTAAGTATGTTTTTCAATTACAAAAGTCTTACGACATACGGAATTCTACATCATTATTCAATTTTTCCCACGTTTGTTGCGCGATATAAAATCACGCAGATGAAACGCTGGATATTATGTTCAAAATCTTCCACAATGCATGTGTAAAAGATGCGCTGTACTTCGCTAAAATAAAGATGGAAAAATTTATTCGCATACTTTACAAAGATAATGACCTGATTTTGTTATATTCAACTCTGTGCTTAAAATGTGAATCAAATTTATGCAAAAAAGTAAAAATTGATTGTTTTTTATCTCTCTTCTGAATTCGACAGTCGCACTTCACCATGCTGTTTGATTGAATGTTTTGTATCCTTGTGAACAGTTGTTGACATCGTATATTGACTCCCCATGCCACTCAACTGTATCACCAAAATGGCAAGCAGAAAAAAACCGAATAAAACAAAATCACGCTCTTACCCAATTGCCAAAACCGACAACGAGAGAAAATTCAAATTTGCGAATAAATTTGCATTTGGCGTTGGTTTCAATCATCTCTCCAAAGAAAATTCATCTGATTAAAATTATTTCGAAAATGGTCAATTTGAAAAGCAAAATTTTTGGCGTACTAGTTACAAGTGAATGTGCGCGCAGCACGGAAAAAACCCGGCCGAAACAAAACGACAACACACAAAAAAAAATCTGAATTATATTACATGTTCCTTACTTGGATTGAAATTGGATTTGTCTCTTTTTTTTAAGTTTTGATGTATGGTGTATACTGGATAAGATGAAACGACGTCAAACTTTATCGCGTGTTTTTCTCTTCTCCATTCGATATTGTCGGTTCATGGATTTATCATAAAAAATGCCATGATGTCGAGAATTTGCGCGTTCGTTCGCTAATTTGTGATTTAAACGAAGCTCAACCGGTATTTGCATAAATCAATTTAAAAATTCAACTGAAATGTAAAACATTATTGCGGAATTGATGGCAGTCAATATTTGCGTTCACAATATCAATGGTGGCAATAGCACACACATACGGCTAAGTTACATATCGAAATGTGGCAGAAAGCGACAATAAAATCAAACGGCATAGCATGCGGCATAGCACAACTCATTGACCACTTTAGGATTTAAAGAGAAAGAAAAAAATAATATCGAAAACTTTATCGAAAAACATCACGAGGCTATTCATATGTTTTATCATCGAGACACATTATAACCGCGAGAGATATCGTGTATAAATTTCCCTAATATTTATTTATTGTTGAACTTTGCGATGCATTGCATCGCCCGAGCTCAATGCAAGACCAGCATTTTTAAATTCTTTCTCTATCCCCCCCTCCTTGCCGCAATTTCGATATTATATTTTATAATAGTTTAACTGCGTAAATTTATGCGCAAGAAATGAAAAAAGATGCATTTTGCAAATCGAAAAGATCTTGAGATGTTGGAATTTGTTTACTTGTTTACTATATTTTGGTATAAACAATATTTATAATAATCGGTCATCATTCCCATTTGTTGACATTTTTGTGTGTGTGTGTGTGTGTGTGTTTGTGTTTGGCTCTTGTGGCATTATCCATTTGAAATGCGCTTTATGTCACAAGGCAACCGATGAAAATAGCTGATTTGGTTAATGCTCATTTGCACTTTGCATTTTACACAATTTCCATAAACTTTGAACTTTAAAGAGTGTGTGCATGTGTGTATGTATTTAAAAAAAAGGTACAGTTGTTCGTTTTGTCATTCGGCGATAAATTATCTCGTCGGTCAATCACAAACGAAATACACAGTGCGCCGGATAATCATTTAGAACTATGCATTTGCAACGGAATAATGATGATGATGAAAGAAAAAAAAGCAACGACAACAGTAAGTTTAACGAATAACAACACACATTTTGAAACAAATCAAAAGGAGAAGAGAGCAGAAAAAAATCACGATTGAAATGGATAAAAATGCAGCAAACGATTCAACAGAACAAAGCAAAAGTATAATCGGCGTAGCATAAAAGAACGAAAAAATTCTGCGACTGTGCCTTCGAGAGAGAGAGAGAGAGGGAGAGAGAGACTGAAAGATATAGACCTTTAGCAACAAAAGAGACACATGCACAGTTTAAAGTCGATTGGACATTCGGACATAGTGTACACGGAATGTAAATGCTTTGCAATGCAGTTCATATCTTGTTAAACGAAGAGAACCCACTCAGATTATGTACGTTTTATTTCGTCACTCGATCGTATTGCATAAAACATTTCACGGTTGGACTTGGTTTGTCGTTGTCGTATGGACAATGCGAAAATCTCTTCGCGGTCGACAGATGAGGAAATTGTTATTCGCGCCACATATATTCGTATGCAAATTAAAGCGCTATGCAAAGATGAACACAGAATGGCGAGAATGGGTCTCTCATGCACACACACACACACAAACAAAACGAACCAAAGCATCGATCGAAACCAAAGAAACAGTCGAATAATTAACAAGCGCGACTCTATCTCAAAAGAGAAATTGCCAATGACACAAAGAAAAGACCGTGTCTTGTTGACGACTATCGCCCAGCTGAAAATCTTTACGAATTTTTCGGTTTTTTTTTGTACTTTTGCTGCAACTCCACCGTGCCTTGCAAATAAACGACAAAAGAAAAAATCGCCATTTATGACGCAAGAGCTGGCGCTTAGAATCAAATCAATCGATTATATTATACGGAAAACAGGTTCATTGATATTTGCACAAGTCACAACGTCCGCTTAGTTTCTATTGTTTGACGGAAAAATTTTAATAATTAAATTGTCATTCGATGACATCGCCATCGAATTGTAATAACAAAAAAGTGTCTACAATGTTGTATTCATTGCATTCACTCAACTAAAGGGGGAAAAAACGTTGACAGTTTTTTCTCTCTTTACTTTGCTTTGAACTTGATATATTTTTTTTCTATTCGTTGGGTTAATTAATATTAAATGACCATATTGTGTTGAATTCCATGAATTGAAATGGAAAAAAATCGAAAATTGATCGATCAACACAATTTACAATTTTATTTCAACTTGGTGGATTTGAAAAATATTTGGTAAGGTCAGAATAAAATGCATTAATCGTTATTCCATATAATTAAACCTGTTGACGATGTCTATGTTACTCTTGCAACGATAATGCATTTGGTCTAATCATATCGAGGCAGCATAAGGACTAATTTTCACTGCCCTTATGCCGCATGTGCTGTATTGTTTTGAACTGTCGGATTAAATTAAACATCGATTTGGAAGAAACAAAGGAATCAAAGGAACGAAGGAAAAAAAATTGGGTCGATGCACACGCCGAACATATGACACCAAAGCATGAATTCACATTTAACGAATCATAATGGTTGAGTTTCAAGTCTCGATTAATGAGTGTTATGATCCTTTTTTTATCGATACCTACCAATTTTCCGAGTTGCAGTAAAATAACAGACAACATTATGTGCGTGTGTCGGCAGCATAATAGTTGAATATACTAGTATTCACCGTGAACTATTATAGGGTTTTTTTTGTGTGTGCATTCAATCCTCACGCTTTATTGGCTTACGTCCACACGCATGTTCAGTTCGGCTCTGATGTCGTTGATTAAGTGTTTTCTATCATCTCTTTGACCATTTCGAAGGGTGTATCATTAAATGAAATTTATAATACTATTATTGAAACAGCATACTTTCAACAGTTATCCTAAACATATTCTACATTAAACCAGCAGTTTTCATTCGGCTTTTGGATTCCCTTTTACATTTTTTTTCTCTGGGATCAATCGAACTCAAAATTCATTTCTTGAATTGCTCATTTTTGGTTTGCTCCCAATAAGAATTAACATTTCATTCGATTTTACGATTTGAAAATGTTCAATTTCAGAATCATGAAAAGGAAGCAGATCCATTGGGCGTAAGCCTCAAGAAATGAACAGCTTTCCTATTCGAATAAATAACGATAAAATTTCATTTAAATCATGTGAATCAAACGGATGAAAAAAATGTTATTATTGACGTCAATTTATCGAATAATATCGATATAAATTTGGTATCGTCAGTGGTGGGCCCGATCGATTCATAATTGGTTTCGGCATTAAAATCATTTAAAAATCGATTGTTTATTTATATTAAAATGAAATTATCTGTAAAATCCACTATTAATTTCATTCACACATGAATTAGTGTTCTTTCTTTTTTGATTTTATGCGTAAATATGGTGGCATTTTGTGAGAGTATGGAATGTGATATGTGTAGCCATGAAATCTTTTTTTTTTCGACCAAATTGAATTCGAAACCATCGATGACCACATTTCGAAAAAATGCAATAGTACATTTTTTTTTGTTTTCAATAAGAACCTCATTTCGATATGAACGAAACAAAAGCCCTTTTACTCTTGTAAAACGACAAGCAAAAAAAAACAACAACTTGAACGATCACGAAGAAAATGGTGAGTAGCAAATATAAGAGAGCAAAAATATCACCAACCGTACTACACGCACCGAAACAACAGCGCTTGAATTGTGGTTATATTTTGCATATTTAAAAATAAAAAAAAAATAAATCCGTTTAACCTTCTGTTTTGTGTACTTACGTCGGTACTGAAATAAACGATTATGTTTCTGTGGATCAATAAAATTGAATAAAAAAAATACCGGCAACAAAAAAGCAAGTGAGAAATATAAGTATATGGGTGAAGCAATGAAACGCAAAGGGAGAGAAGAAATAATGTAGTTTTGAATGAACGGCTAAACATGCAAATGAAATTCCAGAACCGCCAAAATAAATGAACTTTTGACCAGTGCGCCCAATGAACATAGCGAAAATTTATAAACTTATCGATTTAAACACAATTGGTAAACGCCTGCTCCAAGCAACGATT